GTTGAGCATACATCTGTCTAATTGATCGAAAAGTAGTAGATTACGTAATCTAAACTACCTCATGCACCCAAATATCTCATAAGATAATTTTTGTTCATAACAGAATTAAAATTTTTGTTATATTTTTGATTAAATGAATATCTCAGAGGTAACTTAGGTATTTGTAACAGCTCTAGTTATCGTTCTCTCCCCGTGTTCATGTTGGAACGCGACTTTCGCCTTCGGAAATGGGCGAAATCCACGACCTTCGCTGGTATTCCCAGGGAGAGGAGCCAACTGGACTTTTCCTTTCCCTTCGCGAGGCGGTTTTCGTGAAATCGGGACACGCGCGTGTGCTCCGACAAGAGAAAGCGCGTTAGATCACCGAATCATGGACCAGAGAGACGGGAGAACGGGGATTGCCGCAAAATGGAGGACACAGGACGCACTGCACAGAAGTGAACAGAAATTCGTATCGCATCTTAGAAACGTGAGGATCGTATCTCAGAGTTTGACTCGATGTTATAGGAGAAGGGGTTAATGAATCAGTGACCTATTAAGGGTTAATTAACCCTAAAATTGCCTGTGCTTTCGCGTGCTAGAATAAAATTTCTTCTTTACTTAATAAAAAGTTAAAATGTATCAAGCTATAGTCTTAAACTGATTTAGAATCTCGAGTTAAGTTTCCAAAGATGTATTATTTAGAGTACAAACTAATTGTTAATACATTTCAATTAATTGGTCTATAAAGCAATGTAATTATGAACAAAATAAAATACTTCCATTGTGTTTCTATTCACGATATCCTCAGATACGATATTCATTAAAATCTTAACTTCTCTCAGCAGAATATAAATATGCTGAAAGCTATTTCTTTCATAATGTCTTCAAACATCTCCTAAATCTTCGGCTAATAATCCTTCAAAAACGTGGTTTCAAGGACCACAATGACGAAGCAGAATTACTCTCCGTTCACAGCAATCGTTGCAATGATGTCTAACATATAATAGACGATGAATTGCGTTAACATCGATCTCGAGAAGAAGTCATCTAGATTTATCTAGATCTCGTGCTAGACCGTTAGATATAAAAGTATCAAGGTGGGCCAGCTAATTTACTGATGAATTGATGGTTGACAGCGATAGTGATAGTCGATCGAGTCAAGCGTTCACAACTCTCTCTCTACTGCACTTAACGGAACAGCATTGACATTATTCGAATCAGACTGACACAAATATCTCCCGGTCCGATCTTGTTCAATGGGTTCAAATAATTCGTATGAGAAAATAATTTTCTTTACGATATAATCCAATAATTTCGTTATATCGTACATTTTCTCTGCAAATTTTTAAATCGAATTCTCATGTTTCTCGTGTTACTAATACTTTATTAATAGTACTATTCAATAGTTCTTTATATCTCAGTTTGCAATTTAAAATGCATCGAACGAAGTATTAAATAAGTTGCTTGCAACTCCTCTTTATACCACATAAATTAAAATTAATCAAGGAAGAGATCATCACACGTAAATGCAATGTACATATTAAATTATATACTATCAGAAAATTATTATTTTTAAATACATTCCAGTGTAGATCTCATTTCAATATTTGTAGTATCTTAAAAATTATATCAAAGTCCCATTAAATTCTTTTACCAATTTGTAAGATATTTAATGGTTTCGTTTATTTTCTCATATAAACGTATGATGTTCTCCATCGTCATAATGATATTGGAGAGTACATATGTAGAACTCGATTCGAAGTTACACTGACACGAATATCTACGTCAGCATTCATACTTTCGATAATGAGAATTTGGTAACGGTACTGCAGCGCCGATGCAGCGTCAGAATGTCAGTGGGACAAAATTTTGGGTCGATTACTATCTCCCGCTTAGTTTCTCCGACTTCCGAGCGTCTCGTCGAGGAATATACGAAAGCAGACGGTCAAAAATGGTACGTCGAGAATTGCACATTCTTGGTTTACTCAGCGCGGCTGATAAACGAACAAATATCTGACACCACGTGTTGATGTATAGTGGCGCGTTATCAGTCTCGCTGATAAATCCTACCGAAATTTTATTGACGCCGTAATTGCGAATTCTCGGCAGCGTTGCTCACCGCGGGACTCAGTGCACGTGGAGTGCAAATTTTTTAACGATTAATACGAGAAAGATAAAAAAAGTCGATTAACATTTGCACTGATAAACAGAATATTTTTATGTATATTAAATTATTCTGTAGAACAATACGATAATATACTTCTGACGTACAAATATTATTAGGTTGGTGAGAAAGTCTTGTCTAACAATGATCCAATAATTCGTACCGATCGAGTAGTTTTATACTTATTCAACTCAGATTGAAAGTGAAGATTTAACAGCAAATTTAATGAATATACATATTATTTACTTTACATCGATTTTCCAAACGAAGATAACGGTATTTATCATACTTTATTCAGATCCAATATTATTATCCAAATGGCAGAGAAATTCTTAATTAGCATCAATATTTTTTAAGAGTTTGCACCAGAACATAATTATTAGATAAGTTATTTTTTAAAACGCTGAAAATATTACATCGAGGTCTATTGATTATAGCATTCAAACGCTAATACTAAAGCAACATACTTTAACATAATTGATAACGCCGCAAATGATGCAGCTACTGATTCTACTTAATTGAATACAATCCAATTACTGGCGATTCAACGTTCACAACCCACCACATAATTCAACACTAAAAAAGAAAACTCGCTGACCAGGTACCCACGCATTTCCACGCATTATCGATGCAGCCAACCATTCGGCGACCAGCGCAAACCAAAATAAAATAAGATTCCATTGCACCGTTGCACGGTCGATGCATTATAAATGAAGATGCACAACGACCACGTGGTATTTTTAGTCTCGAAGTAACAGCACAGTTGGGGATCGCGTGAACGCCACGCGGCTCGCGATAAACACGAAATCGACGCGATCGCGATACGTCTTGTCGACTTTATCTTCTTTCCGCGCAGACAAAGCGTCACATTTTCGTTCGCAACAAAACAACGAAACCGCACGCGAGAAACCCTGTTTAACCGTACTGCGCCCTTTCAGTTTTTTTCAACTCAGTTTAACGTTTTAGCGTCATTCTGCAACGTTTCTCGATTTTTAAAAATATTTTTTCCAATTTTTGAAGAACACTTGTGATTTTGGAGACTAGAAAATCTTTATAAATGTACGTGTTTTCACTTCCTCAATAATACCTATCTGAACCGTGTAGATAAAACTAAGATTACAGTAAGATTAATTATTAACGCTTTCGGTTCTCCAGTTATACAGATCCCATGGAATTCTGTAGATTTGTGTAAAGCATGTTATTCTCAGTACATAGGTGTACTATTTTCATTCTACTTTTGATTCATTTCTTTTTATACCTTTCGGTGCAGGCCGTCCAAATTAAAAACATTTTTCTTATTATTTCTTTCATTATTCTTATCTTGTATCATTTTTATCATACCGATGAAACATATATATACAAGCTACTTGTCGAAAACAACACAACGCAAAAACATCAAACTGCATGCATGCACCACTACTCTATAAGAACACATTTCCGTCGTACTTGCACGTCCAACTTCATTAGCCAAAAGTGGAATCGGAAGCGCTAACCCTTTGTAGTCCCAAGCGTTCTCAATTGTTCACACCAGAACGTACATCAACATTACTTTATTCAACTGCAGTTTAATGTATCTCTTGAACAATTTATTCACGAATATCCGAATGTCTTACAACCAAATATATAAAACACGCGTACAACAAGTAGCTGTTAGAATGAAATTCAACACTAGATCTACGGTAATTTATTGTACACTTCATTCTACTGCTCCCAGAAAAATTCATGTTCATTTATTCAAATCCTGGAAACCACAGATTTAAAACCGAACAATTCCGATACAAATCGTTGCAACTGTATCCATCAAAATCAATACTAACATTTACCAAACAATCTTTATAAAATTTAATATACCCCAAATTAGCGCGTTCCGTAAACCTAGCGCTTATCAAATCCATCGGTGCAGGACCGTAAAGGGTTAAACAAACGTGAACACGGTCGATTCACCTCGAACACGATGCACTGTGGATCAATGATCTCTGAGGCGCGCGACGCGAATGCACCGAACGCGTTGCATCGCGGCTCGCCGCGGACTGCGGTTTCCCGCGGCGAATCCGCGGGATTGTTGCACTGGTCGCCGGGGGAATTCGCGCGCAACCAGTTCCCCGCGTGTGTCCGTGTGCCGTGCACACGCGTGCATATCGCCACGCGACGTGCAAACCCGGGGATTCGCATGCACGTCGCGGGGCTGACTCTGCGCGGGAGCGGAGAGCCACGGTCCCGCCGCCGATTGGGCGAGCACGGGGGTAGAGGCGGGCCAATCCGCCGGGGCTGCAGCTCGCCTGCAGCTCGAGCACGTGCACCGCTCGCGAACCGGCACCCGTTGCATCGTGCTGCACCCGCGCGCCGCCCGACACCCCCTCCCGGCCAGGTGAGCGGATTCGCGCGCTAGGAGTGATGGCGCTGCTTTGGTCAGACATGGAGGCCGCGGCTCCGGGTGACTTCGATGCCTGCCGCCGTGAAATTTCTCCGCGAAATCGCGCCATTGTTGCGGTGTCGTTGATAAATTAAAATGTTCGGCGATTTTGTACTGATGTTTCTTTTATGCGACTTCGACAGATTGACAGGGTTTTAGATTTAGGAGGATTAAGTAGAATCGTTGAATACTTTTTGTGCGAATTGCTGATTGATTATAGGAAGATTGGAAAGGTGTTAAATTTTAGAGGATTAAGTGAGATTGTTGAATACTTGTTGAATTGCTTATTGAGTATAGAACATTGTATTGTATTAGATATTGTTTTAGGCATTGTATTAGATATATTTGTAAAGATCGTTTCCCCGCGTGTTCAAGATTAGGTCATCGGAGGTAACCAAACGAGACGAATGAAGTAAACGGTAACTGATGAAGATGACTTACCCTCGCAGAATAGGGTGACATCGGTCAGACTCTCGCTTTTGAACAAATTCGAGAACGCTGTCGCTAAGTTGCTGCCGAAACTATTCCACTTGAGACAGAACTGGTGCTGATGAGAGTCCATGATGCCACCCCTAGGCCCAACCCCGTGACCCTCGCCACCCCTGTCTCTGCCACCTTCGTGTGGATATTTTTCTTCCTGATCTCGTCCGTGCCCAACAGTTCGTCCAGCTGTACAGAAAATTATTTCAAATTCAATCTTCGCGCGATGACCAACCACCAAACATCTTTTTCTACTTCTCAAATCATCATCGATCGCAGGTAGCTCGAACTGGAAGTTCCTCGCGCGCCCGACGATGAATTACGAGAAGGAAAATCGGTCGACGGTTCCGCGATTAATCGGATCATTGGATAACGGATCGCGTCCTCCTGAAATTATTGTGAACAAACCGAGGAAACAGCAGCACCCGTTATCTGCGTTACTTGGGAACCTGGTTGATGATCGATCGCGTGCCTCGGAGGCGACCGAGGTTCGTTAATCGCGACCTCGCGCGCCAACGAATCCCTTTCCTCGACGCCCGTGGAAACTTTTGCCGGATTTCCGCGGTCCGTGATAAAAAAGCCACCAGGCGAAACCTACCGACGATGCTCAGGACCGTATTACCGTCCGTCCGTCCGGCAGAGTGTTTGGCGGCTCAACGGAGGCAGCACCGAACCGTCTGCTAGCACGCTTCATTCATGCGGGCCCGCGAACTGTAGTCGCGAACAGTAACCGCGAACTGATTTCCCAAAAAATGTCCGTGAAACCTCGATATATCGTCGAAACAGGATCAGCAAGCACCAATCTCAAGACCGAATATCCTCGAACTTAGCTGGCGCCGTTTATTTTCCCGTAGAGTAGCTAAATACACAGGAATAGTTTCTGTTCGCGATCACGACCTCGCGTACACGTGTCCACGCGGCACATAATCCACGAGGATCGTTCAACCGATCGAGCACTACGAAACGATCTTCGCCAACCAATCACGGGAGTAACGAGAAGAAAGCCTGCCGCGAGACACCGTGACAGTGGACACTGTTTGTGGATGTGCGAAAGTCGTGCACGGATCGATCCCCAGCGGTTCCCTCGCTGGTATATCCGAACACTGGTCGCGTGCACACTGGATGTACGGTGTCGAGAGTGTCGTTTCACCCGGCCGAAATCGAGTCACCGACTTGCATCGCGCATCGCCGCGGCGAAGAACGAATCACGCGTAACTGTCCGCCCGGTCGGTTGGTCCCACTCTATCCCCGTCCCTCTCTCGCTCCGTCTATCGCGGCTCTAGCCGTCCCTATCTATCCGGAACGGACCTTACGAGCGTTTCGTCTTCGTCGCGCACACACGCGCGCGCGCTCGGCCACCGAAGGAACAGATATACACCCAAGCCGCGCGGGAGGACAGTGCGTGCGACGATCGTGAGGAAACCGGCTGCTTGAGAAGCGAAAGAGAAAAAGAGAGACAGAGACAGAGAGAGGGAGAGAATGAGAGACGAGTGGATAAGGAGCCGTAGGAAAGGAGGGAGAGAGAGAGAAAGAGAGGAGGATTCAAAGACGTTGTGTGTCGGCGTAGTCCCGCGTCGCGGAGGAAAGAACGTTGAATATGGGTCATCGGTGCCGATGCAAATGCGGTTAGACGAAATAGTGTGTGAGAGTTCGGTGGTTTCCAGAGGG